TTTAACACTTAACACTCAGAAGAATACAATCAACACTAATGGCGCATCCATTTGTCTGGTTGAACACACATAATCCTAACATCTCATTCTTTCTCCTCTCATCTCATTTTAGAGATGCATTCAGCACTGGTTTTATTTTAAACTGGAATATCATTCTCAAGTATAATGTACTCACCAGCAGCTGCAGCAGCAAAGCTAATACTAGAGGCAGGCAGAGGGACTGTGCTTAAAATAGCTGGATTAATGGGCGGGGCTGATGGAGGTGGAGGGGCAGACATGAATGACCTAGAGGGGGCGCTGGTGGAGGCAGATCCTGGCCGACCACCTGATCGGGGCCGTGGAGATAAGGTATCATCTTGGTATCTTGATGTCATTCGATTAAGGTGGGTGTTTTCATCCTGAAAAACATCAGATAAAATTTCTTTAGGCAAAGCAGGAATTATTTCCATTTTTCAATTTTTTTTTTCCTTTGAAGGGTACTTGAATGTGTTAAAAAAGAAAAATATACTTCAATATCTAAACTGGCTGCGCTATCTCATTGATGGAAATGATTTGCTTTTTTAATTCTTGTGCAAATGATCTGCAGACTCTTCATAGCAGATTTGTTATTCTTGCACCTTAAATCTCAAGTACGTAGATAGTCCCCTCTTCTTCAAATCTTGCATAACAAAGTCTTTTAACAACAGCTCATTATTAATAACTAAATGTCAATTTTTGTGTTTTAAAAAAGGAATATCTAACTTAAAACAGGGATATTACCACTTCTGTAACTTCTGATTTGTCTGGTGCAATGTCAAATTTGTGTGTCACTGGCAACCACTGGATAACCTGTATAATAAAAAAATAATTAATAATAATGTAAAATGTAATAAGAAGGGTTTTTATTGTCTTATGTGTAAAGATGGTACAGAAGGTAATTGATGGTTAAAAAAAATAATGAACTGATCAAGGCCCCTTCATGATGAAGGGTTGAAACACCATGCCTGACAGTTTAAAAACATAGGATGTTTAGTTTCTTTAAAAATAATTCACATTTTGTCAAAATAAAACAGAATAGTAGCAGTAGTACTTGCAAAAGTAGTAGATAGCATGACAAAAATTGCTCAGACATTTAGTCAAAGCTTAATGGTAGTTGAACTGTTAAGAATACCATTACTTCACTATCAATATTTACTTATGTTCAGCAAGAGACTGCAATGGAATAAAATCAGTGTGACCAGTAGAGATCCAAACTGTCTGATGTGCCCTCTATCATACTCACCCTGAGATACTGATTAAATCTTTTCATGGAATGAAAATGGCAAACCAGCCATCGGAGGTAGATAAGGAGATCGTCCAGCTTTAGTGATTGTACGGCGGCTTGATTGTCCAACAAATGCGACTCGCGTGCTATCTCAAGACGTTGAGATCTCTCAAGGCAGTCATTGTACTCTGACATGATTTGGCTGGAACATAAATGATTATGAATTTTCAGGACAAATACATCATATAGTTGTTATTAAAACATTCACAAAATATCAAAATTCTTTTCTAATTTTCAAACAAGTTAGAACATTCACTTTTAACTCAAGATTAAAAATATTATTGACATTAAAAACATTATTGACTCTGTTCAATAAGCTGCACTTGCTAGCAGTGAATACAGCCTCTTTCTATGGGGAGAGTTTAACAAAAATGTATTCCAGTTAAATGCAGGTTTCTGTGGCTTAAATTTACATAAAGATTGAGCTTTGTGTCTGCACCCATAAAAGGAGGGGGGTTGTACAAACATTACTCATTACTGTATATATATATATATATATATATATATATTAAAAGGGGTGACTAGGGGCAGCAGCACCCCCATGTATTTCTCAATGAAGACCACTTACCCCAGTCTCTCAGAGTAGTGTGGATATAATGGCTCTATGGTGCTGGTGTGCTCACAAAATCTCTTCCACCTCAGCATATGCATGTGTTTTGCCTGGACAAGCTGGTGAATACGGTCCAGGAAATACTAGAAAAGACATTTGCTGTGCTTTAACCATGTTCATTAAAGGTCCTCTTGCATGTGCCTACCAAGGGGGGTGGGGGCTGTTTGAGAATCTAACAATATACTGTGTAATTAAGTTCAGTGAGGTACATGTAGTTAAACCGTCCCAGTTACCTGTAGGATTGTGTGAATAACAGTTTTTGTCAAGGATTGATAAGACAGACAGAAGTCAAGGAAGGTGTGAAAAACCCACCACCTCTACCATTTCAAGAGTCATAGACATTTATTCTGAAGATAAGAGTATGTGTCAAGACAAACTGCAACATGTGCAGACAAGCTATTTACTTAGTAACTCACTGTAATTTTTATTCACTATATTTCACTTTTGTACAGAGCATAGTAACAAGAGGGGATTTGCAGTGGAGAAGATACCAATCTTTTGAAATTAAAGGGCAGAAGAAACTGCAGAAAAGGAGGAGGGGGGGGGGGGAGAGAAAGAGAGAGAAAAACCAAGCCTTCAAAAATTATCAAAAATTTAGCCTTTGTCTACAACAACTGTGGCAAAGACTGCCATGCATAAACAGCACTGATGAACCTAAGATGTTTCAGAAACTAGCTTTCTGAGAAAGATAAAACCTACTATATCACGTACTTGATGGAGGAGGAGGGGTAAGTTTTGTGGTGTGTATTCATAACTTTCAGCTGAAAGTAATTCTTCTTTCATCAAATCTGCCTGCATTGTCAGAGGTTTGGCTTCACTGACCTGGAATTGATACCAATATAGGTTTTAACTTGTAGTCACCAGCAATGAAAATGGAAATACATTTTAAAATAAATAAACAAACAAAGAAATGGATGAATGAATAAATGAAATATTGACCTAAGTGAAACATGTACACTCCAAAGAAATAAGGTGGATTATTGGTACAAAACACCCTAGTTTGATCTCATTCAATACATCAGACTCCTCTTGTATTTTAAAATTATAAGCATGATTGCATATAATCTTAAATATTAAGGTTTGACCCTTTTCACACTTAGTTCAAATATTTGGACACAGCATATAAGTAATATACATTTTATAAATGAGATAAACCTTGTTTCACTTTGAAGATGGTAAAAAAGAATAAATAAATTAATTAATAAAATAGGTGCCTCCTTTTTCCCTCCCTGTTCCTGTATCCAACATAGATTAGCAAATGAGGACTTTTAAAAAGTACAGCAACAATTTCTTCCACCATAAATATTTTGAAAGAAATGTAGGTCTTTAATCTCAGCAACCATCTTGCAATATATCTCAATCAAAATTCTAAATGAAATAAGAATTACATAAAATATGAAGATCTGGCATACATCTGCTCAATTTACAAATTTGATTGAATCAGAAAAAGGGGATTTAATTTGAGATGACAACTGCAGCTTAGCTAGCCACTAACCTCCATAGTTCTGTCAATAATCATCTTCCTCTCTCTTCTGAAGTGTTCTGTGTCTTTTGGAACAGTCACTGAGCTAAAAACAGTGAAAGTTAAATTTAATATTTCACATTCAATTATCATATGCTAAAGATCTAACCTTCATAACAAATGTATTGAATTCTGTTTTGAACAAGAACAGAGATGATGCTCTTGTAGTTTGTAGCCTGTGGTATCAGTGTTAGTCTTATACTTGTATATTAATTTATCTTAATAGATTTCAATTTATATTATATCAGAATCACCATATGATTATCTGTGGTGCATCTTACTAACAATAAACTTATCTAGCCAAATAATAAATTAAAAAAAATGAATAAATAAAGTTTAGATTGCCCAAAAACTGAAAGTATATTTGTTGCAAAAATCATTTTATAGATAAATGTAAAGAACCACACGGGTTCATACCTGACAGTTTTATGGGGTATACCATGGACCATCTCATTTTCCTCTATCTCCTGTTTCAGCTCTTTTAGGTCCCCTGCCAGCTCTGCCTCCAAGTTCTTTATCTTCTCCGTCGAGGCGACTTGGTAAACCTCAGCCATTTTGGTTATAATATCTGCACTAACGAGCATAACATATTTCAATTAATCTTGAAATATTTCTTCATTTCATAAGTATAATACCTTGCCAAAATAAATTTTCAATCAAATGATAGTTTGGTACATAAGCTGTGCATATCATTTCACAGATCAGAACTGTTTGAAAATAGGTCTTTAATCGGACACCTCTATAACTGAGAAATATATTTTGAAAAATATTTATTATGGTGTCTGATTGTTACAGAATTATGTAAGAGCAGGGGTTCAAGGGGTGGTTATTGAAAGGACAATACATTAAACTCCAGGAAAAATTATTAATTATGAGTTATTTGTGGGAAAAGCTTACCCTGAGGATGTGCACCTTTAATCGTTAATTAAGACCAAATATTAAAAAAAGTTTTTTTTTTTTTTTTATTATACCCATCAGCTAATGCTTAATGCAAACTTGTTTAAATGATTTTGTTGACAATTTGCGGAAAAGATTTTTTCTTCTGCATAACGAGGCTTTTGTAAAAACCTTTTGTAATAAAGAAAACTAAATGGCAACATTTAATATGAGTCTCTGCATACTGTATGGTGTAACCGATAACAGTAGAATCGATTCATAAAGGCATCTGAAGGATGGCTAATTTCTCCGTGTTCACAAAGAAATCAAGTTAAATGTTACTTGTAAAACGCACAAGTTTCCTATCTTTCTGCAGCTTTATAACCAATAACTCCCGAAAGGTGTAATTAAAAATACGCACCTTGTATATTTGACAAGTCAATAATTGTATACGTCCTCCATATTTGTCCCAGGCAACATCGAAACGAGGCTACGTTGGGAAGGTCAATTTCAAAGAATACATAATCTAGTAAATCAAATATATTATTTTATGATATAATAAATAAAATCTTTATTTTTAAAAGAAATACAATTATTATAAGGTATTATGTATATAAATGTAAAAAGAGGAAAATTTTATGCTCAAATAAATTATAATGGATTACGTTGTTCCGTATGCTATTCTTTATGAAATTGAAAGGTGAAGGCCACAAAACAGGTGTCTGACGGTAAAAGTATTCATTCATTTGCTAAATGTCAAAATTCTGCATTTTCTTTAAAGACGTATGTGTTTCTTTTTCTATGCTGATCTCCTTTATGTCTAAGTAACAATGCATGCAGCCAGTTCGTGTTGTTACACATTAGATTTAAAGCTATACTTATTTTTCTACATACGCATTCCACTGTTCATACATAAATTATGCTTGTGGTTGATTTCCATTGTTATTATGCACAATTTACCGAATACTTGGTAATAGTCCGTTGTAAGTCGTCAAGTAAATTTATTGAGGAAACTGATGGGGTATTGATACAATTTATTGAAAAAACTGATTGGGGATTGATACCATTTTATCACACCGTTGAATCATTGGAAAGTTAGTTCCAGTTTAAGACTAGTTTCTTTTATGATTAAAATAACAAACTCATCTAGTTAGTTATGATGGTAATAATAATAATAGTGACAGTAACAGAGGAATGAACAAATGAAAAAATTTTATATAAATATTAGGTTTGTACTGTATACAATACAAAGTTGTTGTATTAATGTATTTATATAGATATTAGGTTTGTACTGTATACAATAGAAAGTTGTTGTATTAGTTGGTGCCAATAAGGTATAACAACTAAGGATGGGTGTCAGTCAGGTATGCTTCAATAAAACTGTACTGGTATAATTGAACACTTATTTAAAAATCTAAAAAAGAATTAATAGTATTGTATAATGACAGTAATACAGTTATACATATCTGATTTTTTTTGGGGGGGGTTAGCATATCTGATATTTGTTTCAGCATTTAAAACAAAATATCAGAAACCAATGTATGCAGAAATTTCATGAAAATATATTAAAAAAATTTATACATGTTTAATATGTAAATGCTTTTGAGTCATAGAATAAAGGTCACGAGCAGAGAATGGAGAATGGAAAATTTGTAACTTAAAATTTTAACATCTGATAGAAGTGAAAATCAAAATTTCTGTAAGGGTCATTGCTTTGCTTTTGTTGATAATCTCTTGACTTAATTTGGCAATTTTTAAAGTCATTAAGTAAGAATACTTTAAGGCACTATTTATAGTTTTCTTTAACTTGTATTTAACTTTTTTTAGTTTCAGTTATCTCCACAAACCGGAATACTATTTTGGGTGAGCAAGATATGACTGTAAGGTGCTGCCATCTTTTTTACAAATCAGTGGATGGGTGGATGTCTCTTAAATGCTGTAGACTGGAAGGTGGTGCCACCATTGGTGGTGCCAGGAACTAGTTATATATATATATATATATATATACATACATAAACATAATCCATTTTTGTCTGTAATTTGTTGCATTACTTGGATACATTATTTATTTGGAATTTGTTTCATGTAAATGTGTTTTTTTCATAAAATAATATTAATTATTGCTACTGATTGTTATTGATAATGATCAAAAAATTAATCTACAAACTGTATTTTTTTAAAATTTCTTTAACCATATATGAAAATAGCTTTTTTTAAAATAAATATATGTTACTGCTAATAAATTGTTCAGCTACAGAATCATATTCAGAGTTAATTTATAATCGAAAAAATTTTGTTGCTTGTAGGAAGACAGAATTGGCCCTAATGCGAGTGATGACTTTGACAGCAAAAATCTCCAGGCGTCCTTTTTCTTCGTGAGTCGTCTTAGCCTCAGTGGTCAGGTGTACTGGGTTTGTGCTGGTTTAAATTTATAATGACTTGTGTGTATTTTGTTTCAAAGGCAATTTGGCAAATTCTTGGCAAAGAATGCTCCACCAAAACAAACTGAAGCTTGTGTTTTTTGGTAGTTTTTCCTTGGTGTCCCTGTCAACTTCAGCTTTCCAAACAGTGCATGTAACAGTTTTTTAATCTAGTGTATTATGGAAAAAAATCCATTTTTTGGTCTAAGCCAAATTCATCCCTCAGCATTTATCAATAAGAACCTATGTGTGCAGGGATGAAATTTTTGAACTTTGATCTCTTTGGGCGGCAAAAATATCATTGGCTTAGGTGGCCTTCTGGTCTCTACACCATATTTTTTTTTAACATTTTAACCAAATGGCCTGACCATTCCTGTATGTTTGAACTTGAATTTCCTTAGAAGTTCTTTTACAATTAATGGAGTTTCAAGTGTGGTGCAATAAAGTCACATCAGGGATATGAAAGGTGATATTTATAAGCATGAAGTCAGTGATACAATGCTTATTGATCTCAAAACTATTTTGATAATATAAATACTAGTAAAAGTAAGAATGCCCTTTCCTTATGTACAAGTGGTAGTATCTTGAAAAAGTAAAACGTAACTTTTTGGTGGTAAAAATCCTTTAACTAGATATTTCATTAGTTGTGCCTTAGGGGTTTAGATTTTTATCCTCTATTTTTCTTTGAATAGTTAATAATGAAGGTAATTTGGATTCATTTAAAATATGAGCTTGTTTGTGGTGTTGAAATTCATGCTCAAATCCACATCATACTGAAGCCTTAGAACATGAATAGACAATATTTTGAAGTCAGTGATATATGTGTAGAGTTAAATTAAAATTATAGGACCTTCTCTAAATTAATTTTCGACTTCAATGTAATTGTCATCGTAATTATTTTCACACACCCCCCCCCACACACCCATCCTTTTGCATTGTCTACAATTGAATACTTTGTCATTTTGAAATATTTTGCAAAACTTTCTTTACTAGGTCATACCTTAGGGAGACATTGGGCGAGAATTTGGTAAAAGGAGAACATCAGAAAGCTAAGGATCCTCATTAATGTGCGAAGTTCAAGAGATTACTCAGGTAAGCAAGACCAAATATGATCATACGATAGGGAAATGGGGGAGATTTCCACACTGACATTTGGGTAACCTTGTGATTTGCATGCCTTAGATGTGTTGCATAATTTGTTTTTGCAAATCTTCCGCCACTAATACAATGGGCCGTTCTTTGAGTTGTTTTTGTTATTCAGTCTCAGAGTCATTTTATTATTGCAAAAATTATTTTTTAAAGTTACTGTTATGTAATTTTTATGAATGCCCCTTGTGTAAACTTGTGTTCACAGTTCATACTGGTAATTTATTAATAAAAAGAATATACTTATATGCTGCTCTGTTTATTAATAAATCAGCAGTTGAATTGTTCGCTGTTTAAAATAGAAATAAATAGGCACTTGTCATTTTCAGACAGACCTTGGCATTACCCTTAATATATATGTACAAATTTGTATGTTAATATTAATATTGAAGTGGAAGTTTGTTATTTGTCTCCTCTGAACAATAGATAAGTGAAGGTTTAAAATGTAGTTCAGAAATGAAATCCCCATCAGTGGTCGCATTATGAATAATTTGGAATATGTAACAGGGTTTTTTTTTCTGGGCAATAACCTTCAGAAACAATACTGTTTGTGATCTATATAGTAGCAGTTGTGTTAGCTGGGATTTTGTGTCACTCATGACTACCAGACATTTAGATGACCACTTCGTGACAAAGCCTATTAAGTTTGTCAGTATTTTTGTCTAGAAACATGGTATATGGGACCATTCCCAATTCCTCTGTACTAGCAGGATCGATTTATCTCCACTGGGTTTCCCACTGAATTGCATTTAGTTTAAGCATGCACAAAAGTTAATCATCTCCCTAGCAGCTTTACTGAGCATTGCAGACATTTAAGCCTATTAAACTGAATGCAATTTAGTGAGAATTCCATCAGAGTTAGATCGATCCTGCTAGTATGATAGGTTTATGGGAACCCAGTCCGTCTCCTTTGCTTGCACCTCTGAATATCAGATATGCAGTTATCAATAGATTTCCCTGATTAGTAGCAATGAAAAAACAAGAAGAGAAGATATGATTTATGTTGTTGTTTACGACTTGCTGCCATTTAGGAATTATTGTTGGTTTACAATGAGAACCCAGTCTTTATAATCACTTTGATTACTCTTTTTGTAGAACAAAAACTTTCTTGTGTGATGAAAAATGTGTTAAACTCTCTCCAAATTTTTATTTATTTCTCTCTCTGTATTTTTAAACAACCTTAAGACAAATGGGTTGATTTGTATTTATTTCACTTTTAAGGCATCAGAGGTTGTATATTATTTGGCAAATAACTTGATATGAAAAAATACTGTTAAATTAATAAATCAAAACCTAAGTCTGTTTATCTAAGAAAGGATTACCCTTAGCAAAATAACAGGCCTTCTGCAAACTCTCTTGCAAATCTGCAAGAATGAATTTTATGTTCCTGGAAGTTTGCCACAAATTTGCAAGAACATGTACACTTTCTTTTAATTTAATGCATTGACTTATATGCAAAGAAAGGATTTTTTTGATAACCTGCCACAAACTTAAGATGCTCTTGCAAATATAATTTGCTGCAAATTAGCAGCAATACAATTTTTTCTCGGAAACTCCTTGCTGCAAATTTGCTGCAAACTTTTCCTTTTGCTGAAGGTATATATTGAAGAAAAACTACCAGAACAATGAATACTATTGTTTATTGAAAATTTTACTGGGCAGTGAACATTTCCAAGTACCTTTAACAATGTCTGACCTTGTGCAGCAGTTCAGTGCAATTAGATATAACCTCGATATGCTTTGATAAAGATCGCATTTTGATTGTAATCAAGCTGGCTTAATACGTCTCAGACATGAGATCAACCCTGGATGCCCGAAATAGCAGCTTGCTATAGCTACTGGTATGTGAAGGATACTGTTAGAGATGTGAAATGTGAAAGCCATAATGCAGTTTCTGTACTCAGAAAGAAAGAAAACGGACCCTTTGTAGCAGTCTCTAGCACAAACTGACAATCTTATTATGTAATGCATTAATATTTGCCAGGAAAACGGCCTTGCACAGCATCTCTTTACACCTACATGAATGATGAAAGCTTAGGAATTACCGTGTCGCATGAAGTTATACATTCAACTAGTTCCTATTTGCCAAAACCATGCAATACATTTTTTTCTATCTCTGTCTATTTGAAAAGCATATAATACGTAATGCCCTTTTTTTTAGCATTTTCAGTTATCCATTTTGCATTATGCTTTGAAAAAATACCAGTCCTAAAAAGTAATAGAAGAGTTAAATTCTGCACCTAGATTGTTTCTGTTTATTTATTTTTTAAATAAAAAATATGTATAATGAAATATACAATATTAATATATAGACACACATTTGACTGTTAAGGTAGCATTACTACGTGAAATATTTGTTCTCTCAAGCAAGGGCAGCTGGTAATATATTGATTTAGGCTCACGTAGGACTTCGTCACGATAGCAGTACAGCAGTTGCAGACTGTTGATGAGATGGTCATAGTGCTGTTATTGTTCACCTGTGGGATAAACAAGTATATCAGTCTGGTAAACAAGTGGTTGCTGGGTCATTAACTAGAATTCTATTAAAAGGTCTGGACCTAGGCTATGGAGGGGGTGGGTTGGGGGGGGGGGGGGGCAAGCTAGACCGGTGTCCATATTTTTTAGCTTTGTGGAAATTTTACATGGACTTGTAGTCTGGGATATTAACACTTACTGTCCCATGCCAAATTCTACTAAATATTCTGTTGTAGCGTAGTGGCTAGAAAGATTTTGTAAAATTGATTTGACGTCTACTTACTTTCAGTCAGACATTCTTATAGCCTTCACATGCTGTAATGAATAGCATGCTTGATACATGTATCACTGTACAAGAACTTCTTTTTTCTAATTCATTTATTGTGGTAATAATCTGTTAACCTCTGTTTCTTCTGTGTGCTCACTTAGTTTTTCCATCTCATTTCATTTTCTTTGTCCTCTTCATCCCCCCCCCATCCCCCTAACCCCCCTGGGCCTAGCCTATTTTTGCTTATTAAAAGGTCAACACTATCTCTCTTTTAAAGTGTGGGAATTTAACCAAGTTTAACCTCCATGTATATCACAACTGTCTTTTCATTGGCCTCCATGTCTCCTGCCTATTAACACTTTATAAAAATGAGAGGATTTGTACCAGAGGCATTCCATGTACCTCTCCCTCCTCCCAGTTCCGGCTGTTTTTGATGGTATCTTCAAGGAGGATGCATTAAGTTTGTATTTTAGAGATCTGATGTTAAAGAACACGATGCGCTATTCATGGAATGTCTGAGGAAGATAACTTAAGTCTGAAGATGTGTTTAAATAAGAATGTGTGTAGATTGAAAGCTGATCCCAAATTTATCATAATTAATTAGGCCATTTTGATTACTAATAGGCAGTTTGGCTCCATACCTGGCATGATGGAATGCACTATATAAATGAAATTTATTAATTGAACCCATAATGAAATCTTGTATTGAAATGACAGTGAGTATGTGCATTGGTTTTTTAAGTATATAGTGAGTTTTTAAAGGTATACAGTATTTGAAGTGAGCGTCGGTGGAGCATGGATTCCCAGTAATGCATATAAACATGCCAAGGAATAAACAGAATTGATCACTTGATCAGCCATGAAGAACTTTAAACTGTACCATCTTCAGTTTTTGATCATAATATTTATCTGACATATTTATCTGCCCCATTTATATACAGTACAGAGAGCAAGTAGAAAAATCCAGTCAAATATCATTTTTCGGTAATAGGAAACCATGTCTTACGGTGTTTCTCTAAGTTACACTAACTTCAGTTATACGGTGGCATTTGGTAGGCTTTTCTGGCAAAAAAGGCCTCAAATGCATCTTTAAATTGCTAGTCAAGAGGACATCTTCATCCAATATCAGGCCTACCCAACTACCAGACACGGCACCGAACAATCCTGAATTCACTGATAAATCGGACCACACTACCCATTTTCAAGGTGTGTGTCAGTATGCGCTTCGAAGTATCTTACAATGCTATTGATAAAGAGGTGAAAAAATGTAATAGCTATGAAAGTTTTGCTTTAATGATCTTTTCATATTTACTTAAAAGATCAAGATTTTCAGTATTCACTTTAAATTTACCAAAAAGTAAATTTGGCTAACTTTTTCAATTAAATTGCCAAAAAAATCAACATGAACATGGAAATCTTTGAGCAGCTAAGAGTACATGCAATGCCCTTATCTATGAGGACATATCATGGCTGTCAGTGTCTTGTATCAATGATCATGGTGGTTTAATTTTTAATGTTTGTCGTTATTAAGACATTTTGATTACTGAGAGGCAATTTGGCTTAATACCTGACATGATGGGGTTCACTATATTAAGAACATTAATTAGTACAAATCCGAAAGTGACATCTCTAATTGAATTCAAACGGTGAGTGTGTGTGGGTTTTTAAGTAGGGGGGGTTTTAAAGTGCCACTTAACATGGCATCTTCATGCAATAAACACTTGAGGAAATTATAGTCAAGTTAACTGTGTTTTCTGCTCGGAGTAGCTGGTGGCAACATTACTTGTGATGTTTAACTCAAAAGAACATGTATATAGGAATATGTGAGCAACAAAGTGTACTGATGTAGTAGTAGCCTTTTCTATGAGGACTGATATCATAGCTGTCACTTTTCTGTACCAATGATTGTCACTGATGGTGGTTTAAATTAATTTTAATGTTTGCCTGTAGCCTGATGCAAATGCAAAATTCAAACCAGCAGAATATGTCAGATTTGACATGGCGCTAATGCATATACTTCAATTTATTTTGGGACATCTTTAATGATGACAGTGCTGGTGTTTAAAGATTTAGTGATTGTAAGGTCAAGTCAATAAACTGCTGGTAAATGGAATCAGATTTACTATATCACATTATTTTCAGATATTGTTCTTTGATAATCTGAAATATTTAGATAACTGACCAACCAGTAAAAGAATATTGC